AACTGAAGCATTTCGAGAATAACTTTCAACATGAATTCTGGGGGTGAATGAAAATCGTCGAAACAAAATTTAAGCGACTCATCGGTTAGAAATTGACATCAAAGACATTTCTTGCCAGATTGTGACTACAAAGGTACTTCCGAAAAGCGGATATGAAGCAACTAAGAGACTAGTAAGAGACCAAACCGGAAAATATATTCTGAGATAGTACGAAAGGACAAGATTTTCAGTTATTCTTGAATGGGAGAAGTCGATAGTCGTACTTCAATTGTCAATGCCTCATGATGGTATACGATTGCAATTGAAGCGGATTGAAATTTGTGATCTGAGTCACTTGAAAATTCGGTGATATTTCCTGAAGCTGAGGTAACGGGATGTTTTGGCAAAACGCTCAAAATTCTGTTGTCGAATGTTATCTTCATTTGCTTACTTGCATGTAGAGACAGTTTGGCAAGTTTGATTCAAAATTATTTAAAAGGTGAAGTTACCCGTACCGTAATTAGCCCAAAAAGAAGAGCTGTCTCAACTTTAATGCTATGGGAGTCGAAGTTTATATTGTGATTTAGTTTATACTCAAATTTTTACGGAGGGCACGGCAAATTTCTTTTATTGTTGTGGCAGTAATCTTTGGAAATTCATATAATATACCTACAAGATGGCCACCCATGTGGACCAGACTAAAATCCCGTGTTTATCGTTTTTAAGATCGCTTTGTACTAAGAGGTCGTAGCGTTAAATGAAGATTTACACAACCAAATAGCGACTCTTTTCTTCGTAACAGAAGCCATTCAATAGCATGATAAATAGATAAAACCTATCAACCGTATCAGTAAAGGCAAGGTTTCAAGTTCGTAAAAAATAGCCTATAGTATGCTTTTGCAATTGCTAATGTGTAAGGTGTGACTATCAAAGCGGATGTGTGATTTGTCTGAAATGGATTTGTTTCCAATCAATGAACAATCCAGAGGCTTCGGCAAAACCAACCGTGACAACCGTAGGTCAGAGGTTAAGCTGTTACATAAATATGAAATCCCGTATGTGATCAACAGACAAATGAAACGTCTCCCAGAGGCGTATATTTACTTCCTACTCTCTGTACATGAATCCAAACGGCGTATGCAACATGAGTGCGTCGAAAGACTTTGAAAAATGCAACGATCTTGGTGGCATGGTTGAGCTAATGCAGTCTCTAGGTATTTCGCTAATAGGGCTGCAGACATTGGACCAGATGAAAGAGAGGGTGAAAAAGGCACTCAGAATATCAGAGGAGGTAAGAATGTAAGCATCTATGGCTAGTGTCCATTCAAACTCAGCGTAGACCGCCATCGCCAATTCAGACTGTCGCGGCAGAATTATCCGCAAGGAATGGCCCCGATTAACTGGATTAATGTGGTTGACTGAATGTCCGAATTTAACGAATCGCTCGCTGTCTTGTGGCGGGCATTCTGTATGCTTTGGGCTATTATTAGTTGACCTAGAGACACCGTTGCGGCAATTGAAACTGAAATTAATGGACAATAACTTTGTGAGT